TAAAATGTAATTCTGTCATATCAAATTCAAGAAAAAGGTGTATGTTATGATAAAAATAAACTTGTATATCATATACTATAATCGTGTATGAAATTATAACTGAAAAATGTGATTATAGTTTTACTGTAATTCATAAATTATGAGTCTACTTGTAATGCATTTAAAAATCTGTCTTTAATGTTCTTAAAAAATATCAAAAACTGTTATACAAATTTGAAATATAAATGAAAATAGTTTTTGTGTTGATTTTACATGGAACGCGTCCTAAATAATATTAATATATTTCATTATAAGACACATAGCGTTTCACTGACCTATTGCATTCGGAAAACATTTACTGTGTTGAAATACAATTAATTTTAAAAGTTATAGTGAAATAAATCAGTATGTCAAGAACAGAGCGTTACCAAGAATACAATAACTTTTGAAATTAATTTTAATCGAAGCGGAAGACTTTCGATTATAGTTAAAGAAAACGCAATTCCAATAATTACGGGAAATTTTGAGATTACTAAACGACTCATATTAAAAACTATTATAATACTCAAAATAATGAAGCTTAAACAAAACTATTATAATTTACATTTTTATAAGCGATAACCATTGTAAATTGATTTCGCTTTGCGCACAATAAAATACTTGGAAACCCCATTCTAGTAAGTTATTTTAGTACTTAGCTTTTTCTACGAAGTTAATCATTAGGGATGAAACTAAAATGCAGTTTTTTGTATTATTGTATTAGCTATGTAACAATGATGGAACGTACAATGGAACAAATTAAATAATATTATTTCAAAATGTAATTTTTTATCGTTATAAAGAGCTACAACAAATTTTTAAACCCTTTCGATTAGGTAAACCTTTTTTGAGTTTTAATACATATTAATTAGTATACATTTTATTTGCATTTATTATTAATTATGCTTTTATTTATTAGTTTTTATTTACTACTATTGAAAACAAGTTAATTATTAAATATTTTTTATACATTTTAACATACCTACTAAGTTACACGGAAACCCGGTGGTTGATAAACCTTTTTTAATAATAAATTTGTTTTCTATCTCCCAGAACCAGAAATATTATTTATAGTCAGTTAATATGGAACAATAAAAGAAACAAAGAATCAAGAAAAATATTACTCTAGTTTACTGAAAATATACTTACTCTAAAGTATTATTATTTACCCATTTTCTCTTTTACTCAAATAATTTACTATTAAAATGTCAAACAAATATCATAAATTATACATCAAAAACAAAACAAAAATTATATATTTTATAATAATTATTTTAATATCTTAATCGCTCAAGTATGATAGTTTTGAATTGGTGTAGTTATATAATACACTGCAGTTAAAGTTAAATCACTAACTGCAGAAAACGGACAAGTCCATTTTATACATTTTAAATTTATTATCTTTTTTTGCTAAGCACGCGGAAATCCATCGTTTACTGCAGAAATGAGTCAAATTCGACCGTCCAAACAGACAGAACATCATATATAGAATTCGATAATTATAGTTTGCAGAAAGGGGACTTTCAATATTTAGTTATTTGTCTCTCATGAACAATTAGACAAAGTGAACTTGTCTCCATTTAGCAGTTAGCGATTCAGTTATCCTCCATTTGAACTTTTGAACGCTCTATTACAAACTTTATAAACTCTTGGTAAGTAATTATTCAAGGTTGGTTTATTTTTTAGAACATTATAAATTTAATTTTAATAGTCGGTTAATACATTGTTTAAAATTATTGTCATTTCATAAAGTTTCAAATCACAATTAATCAAGGTTCATTCTTCATCTTTCACTACTTAGTCAAATGCTTTGCGCTAAACATATTTTTCAAAATACTATTACCGAGGAATTATTTTCATTTATTTTTGTTATGAAATCATTCTAACCCTTTCCCCCCGCTAGTCATAAAGAAAACCGCAGTGGAAACTACGGTTTAAACGGTTGCTCCGTGACTAAATAAAAACCGAGCCGCCAAAATTCAAGAGAATACTGGCGCCTGGCTGAACGTTTTACAACAATATGTCTCAGACTCAAGGTCGACGAATTCCCGGCTACGACAAACCCCTCGAACCAAGGGTCTTCTCCTGCACTTCTATCTATCTGTATCAGTCTATCTGTACAGTTATACGTGACAAACGACAAGGCCGGAGAGAAGTGATAACAAATAAAACAAATACATATATGTATACGTATACATTATACATATTGTCCGGGACGGCCATAAAGACCAAGTGCGATCACCATAGTGATGTGCGCGTGTCGCCCCTAGTTTTTCTGTGTGCTTGGGCATTTTACAACCCCTTTGGGAAACGGCAACGGACTTAATCAAATTGCCAATGGAAAGCCGTATAGGAACGATAGTAGGTGAATGTTAATCACGAATAAGCGTGTAAGGGGGCGAGGAAGAATAGGGTAGCCAGCAATTGCATACGAACGGCAGCGCAAATAACGCAAGGGTTCCAAGAACATCCCTTCGCTTTTGATTATTTCGCATTATCCGGCAACATCATTACTGAGTTGTGTGCTTTTAGTATAGAGACGCCAATATTATGTTGCATACCAGCTTATCTTTGCAACGAAGAAAAAAATATACTCGTTTTCCTGGTTTATAATTAGGATAAATTAAATAAATAATGTCGTCTAACGCAATATAAGCTAATATAGAGAGATTTGACAAAAAATACATATGATGTATATCCGCTCATTTTGAGTTTTTGAAAATTACTGGTGAAATTTGCCCGAGTGCTCTAATTCTAAACCCAGAGGAATCAAACTAATTGCCCGAGATGACGGCAAAGACGACGAGTGACGACCGACAGACGTTTTGAAGTAATTAGTGGCAAACGCGTTACCGAGGAAATTATTTCTGTCAAGAAAACTCATTTCTTGAGACTTGCCAAAGTTATACGCATATAAAGTTATAGTATATATTAGGTTATGAAATGTTAGTCAATTAGAAATGGTTCACATAAAAATACAACGTTATTATGTTATTAGATTGCTATAAAAATAATGGTATACTATTATAACATTAAAAATGGCCAAGTCTTAATCGTTCATTTCTTTCTAAAATTATAAGTTTATATAAATTACAAAAGTTTAGGCAAATGCTTTAGTACGTTTAAAAACTGAATAGTATCCTCAGATAAAAATGGGATTATATAATATGTGATTAGCTTTTTTACATTAGTATAATATTCGGTAAGCAATTAAAACGATAATATTTTTGTTTTAACTAACTAACACAAAGTTTTATTTTTAACGTTTTTGGCAGTAGAGTATAGTTGTGTTTTTAAATTTGATAAGTGCATGTTTATTTACAAAAAATCATAAGACAAATATTATTATTATTATTGCGTTTCAAAATAAAAAATGTATTACCAGTTCTATTTTAGATGGGTCGATTGTCACTGCAGTGCTGTCGGTTGTCATGCAAACTAACTTTCCAGACCAATTAGAACATCACCGACATATATTTGGAGTTTGAATTCATTGTATTTTACTCTCCAGAGATTTTCCGTCACTTCGATATTATCCGACTACCTTATACTCAAAAGTGCAAAATAGCAGTAGAAGGAGCACATAACCAGTTTAATGATTTATACAGAAAACCTTTAAGTATTTCATAGAAACGTTCGACAATGAAATATAAAAATAAAGAAACTGACACGACGTTTAAACAACGAAAGATTTATTAATTGAGAAAGTCATAATTTGGTTTTACTGTGTTTGTCAGTAAAAGGAAATTGAATTAAACATTATATTGTTGGCAAATTATTATCAACCAAATGTATATTGAAAAAAATCTATACTTTTTAAAATACTGAACCATATTGTCGTTAATGAAACTTAAGAGCATGCCGTTATGACAATCGCAACTTCACGTTAAGACCTTTCGGTGAATATGTATATTATAATTCCCGATAATGTTCTATATAGAATTTTTTAATCATACTAACTTCCTACTTTTATACTAGTTTTGCATAAATATTAAAAAAGACCATACTGAAGAACTTTCATCACAGTAAATAAACAAGGGTTTATCATATAATTATTTACATACAAAAAATAATTCATATGTGTGTCGTGCAGTAAGAATGGCGGTGTTGAGTACCACACTCGACACTTATCTTTTTTTTTTTAGAAATTGGAAATGTTCCTAACCAAATGAAAATGCATCAATTAAATAAAATACTTTTTTTTGTCGGCGACATTATTAGTGTGTTCCCAGATGTGTATACCTACACGCTATGTTTAATTCAGAGTGCGTCTTGTGTACTTAGTCACAAGTTGAATGTTAATCTTGGTATACAACGCGGGTTTACTCCCTCGCGTTATCAATGGCGCTTTCTATTTAAAATCAAACATTGCCTTATCGGATATATGTTGTTTGAAAGTTTCGTTTTTCACCACGTGCATTGCAAACTAAGGTCTAATGACAACGCGGGTTAAACAATGTGTAAACGTGACTTTTTGCCGAGTTTTTGTTAGAAAAACAACGTTTACAACTTTAAACTCTCCGATGGAAACTGCACCATCACTAATATTATCCGACAACGGCTGTTGGTATTGACGGACAGGACAAGCCCTTCGCCGGGTCGAGGCCCCTTTTGAACGTTAATGTATACACTTTTTTTTTTTTTGCTTCTAGAGAGTAACATCTATAAACGTCGGAAAGTTGGACCGCTTCTACCGTCGCGCCGGTCGTTTGTCAAAGCGTTATTTTTAAGCAGGGTAATAAAAAATGCTGTTTTGCCGAGGTGAAGGAGTGAAGACAAAATATTAGTCAGCATCCCCGAGGCCGGCAAGTGCGTTATCTACCGGTTGGACAACTGCTGACAAATGGCAAACGCCGCGCCGCCTGGAATTTTTCAGCTTATCCTTCCTTTGCTATTACATTACCTAACGGATATTACCACTCGTATCTACTCAAATACAGACACGCTATATAATAAGAAAAATATTTTTATTATTTACTCACTCTGTTTTTCCAAAACTTCAGCCGACTCCTCGCCCTCGTCGTCGTTTTCGTCTCCATCGTCGTCTTCTTCTACATCCTCGTCTGATTCCACGTACTCGTCGCCCGTTTTGATGGCCGGCAACAACGGCACGGAATCATCAGCTTGGACGCTGCTACTGCCTTGTACTTCTTGCAACCGGTGATGTCGAGATTTCTGTAAAGATAAATTTGTTTGAATAAAAAGTCGAATAATGACTGTTGCCCAACCCTGTCTTACAACATGATATCAGGGTCCTCATTCCTCAATTTACGATTTAGGACAAGGCTAGACACGTTACAGCAATTTCATTAAGTCAAGTTAAATAAAATATTATTAATCGAGTCAAAACAGTTGACATATTTTAATGAAATTCTCAATAAATTGGCTGCGTTAAACGTTAATATCGACATAATAAATTGATAATTAGGTTATTTTGAAAACAAAACAAATATTACATGGCATCTTTTCTGCCTTTTTAAGTTTTAGAATAAATATTATATATAATATTTTTCTAAAGGAAACGTCGAATTAGATATTTATCGAGTTAATCCAGAAACAGAGTTTGATTTATAATCAAGTTAACCAGAACGATAAAACTATACTGATGTGTTACAAGTTAACGTTTAACCTTGGAATTTTATATTTTAATTTCAACTTTTCAAACAAAAGTTTCGATAAATATACTCGATGCTTTTATTAAAACAACGAATATAAATTATCAATAGATCGACAAGATAAAAACAAGAAATGGTAGAAATAGTACGTTGAATATTTAGGCGGAATTTTGTTTCACAACCTTCAACTTCTGTACCTTATCAGTTCACAAGATTTGCTGAGTAACAGTTAAAAATTAAAATTACTAATATAATAGTAGTGTTATATTTTGTTCTCAACTCAAACCGTTGTTATTTCAATCTTTCTCTGTTTCTTAATGTCGGCCATTGTAAATAGGTCTATGGTGATACGCAGCAATATATTTACTTATTAATTCAGAACACGAATAATTTTTTAATTACCGTAGCAGGACGTAGCGTCGTGAAAGCGTGGAGGAATTAACTATTTGGTACTAAATCCGTTTTTGTACTAAAAGAATTCGCTTTAACACTCTTAATAAAAATAAAAACGCGAGAATCGTTTGGAATTTATTTTTTGAAAAATGCACCTCCATAACAATTCGGGGTGGGTCGATCGAGGACGCCCGGAGACTATTAACTAGCCATGCTGAATTAATATGTGAACGAGAGAGTACATTGATAATTAAGTCACGAACGTTAATGACCGTCGGAGTTGTTGTTGGCGTTACCGTGGAGGACGAACAAGGGCGTCACGGTTTCTGTTTTTCTCTACAATTAAAAAATAACTATTGTCAACAAAAACCGTAGAAAAAAAGAAAGAGCAAACAATACTTAAACTAAACATTGTTTGCAGTCATCTCGAACCCGCGTTTATTCGGATGCTTTGGCAGTTGCAGTGTGAATGTTGCATTGACACTACTCTCCCCTCTATTTTTTTCGAATCACGGCTGTAGTCCCAATGATTCATACGTCGGTAGTACTTTGGGTTCTTCACTCCGGTAAACGGATATCCGGAGGAAAAAAGGCTGAATCCGTCCGTGAAGGTCGTTCATAAATTGTACTGTGGTTTAAGCGTGCGTTCTTAACACGGATATATGTTATACTACATAACCAGTGGACTTAGCATCTCCATTAAACACAGAAAACAACAAACTTTCTCTATCAGAGAACTCTTAGCAGCCAATTGCTTAAGAGTCGGGATAAGCTAAACGGGATAATGCAGGCTCTTGCACGGATTGACCGTTCGGCTATTTTCTAACACTATGATTTATGACGATCTACAAATGCCATCGTAAAATATATTAGGTTATGTGTTATGTATTCCGGAGACTAGCTGTTGTGTAAGTACTAGCTAAATTTATGGTGGCAAAAATGTTTTTTTTTATCTATTACCGACCTGTGTGCAGAGATATCGACTAACCGATTTGAATTCTATCCTCGGACCGATGTTGCAGCAGCCGTTTGAAAACTTTTTCGCCGCCCCTCGTGGGACTTTATTGAGTAAATCGCAGGCGGTGGCGGTCATACACGACCGGAAACGTGATCAAAGACTTCCGGTCGGCCCGTCCCTACGCCCTGGCGCATTCGGAATATGTGTTAGGTCGCAGACAGATAGGCGGTGCCACATAAGTTGCTCACGATTCGTACGAGCCGGTACCGACACCTCCAGGGCGTAATTAAGAGTACACGTTCGACACACACACACATGCATGCACACGAATTCCATACAGACCTCAGAGCCAATTATTATCTGGCAACCGACCGGAAATATCCGATTAACAGCCGGAATCGTCCGATCACGTGAAAATCCAAAAGTCCAAAATACCGTTATCGACGATCATATTACCAAGGTTTATTAACTAGATAAATTCTGCCCCGGCACGCTATGGAAGAAGTAGCTAGAAAGTTTTGGATCTTTATCGACATGAAATATCTGTCCGACGCATTGTTAAGCCAGCAGCCATCGAACGCACGTCTACAGTGATACCCGCAAGAGTGTATGTCGATACCAAGAACTGTATTTAAGTTGTATGTGATCAAACACCGCTGATATGATGTACTTAAATACATTCTGTATTCATACTATTATAATATAATCTCGATTGTCTCATTCAGTTTGTTTTCTTAAATATTATACTCTGATGAACTTGTAGTATAATTTATTCGTATTGTTTGCTTCTTACTGTGTAATCGGGAAATCACCTGAGGGCGGTGATTTAGCAGTCTGCACCGAGGTTTAATTCAATTCAATTGTACATAACAGACGTTCAACGCAATTACATAAATGTACATACTATCCTTTGAAGCGAAACTGGTGTTGTAAACGTAACTGCGATGAATTTCCACGGACCGGAATTTATTTATCGAAGTTCAAACTGATTAAAACCGCAACCGTTGAAGTTTTATCAAAATAATATAATTGAAATTCATTCGGTCTTTGAGACGTTTTTGGCATTAAAACAAATATTTTAATAAGCTATGGAATAAGTCGTATATATTTTCAATCAGAAATAGTATAGAATTTGTATTTGGTTAAAGTATTAACAAGAATACAAGATGGCATTGATGAACTTTCCCGAACCAGCAATGCTGAAAGGAAAAAAATCCAAACTGTTATTTATATTTATATTTGTTAGGTATTCTTTAGGTATGTCCCTGCTACATATTCACCAAAAATTAGGAATAAAACAGCTGAACACTTCAATACTATCATTGTCACATGTGCACTACTATAGTATTATAAACATTGTACAACTCAATAATTTATAAGTATTTAGTGCATGTAATTATATTAGTGATGAAGTAAGCATTCCCTAGTAAATATAGTGTGAACCGTGTAAAATAAGATGTTTTTCAAATCGAAGTTAAGTACAATCAAAAATTTAATGTAATCGTTCGAAATATCGAGTTTTTAACAATAGTTACTTTACTAAATTTCATACATTTTTAAATTTATAACAAAGTTTTAATTTTATTAATCTTTAAAAATACCCAAAACAGGTTCTATGAAACTAAAAAATGTGAACCCTACGCATTTTTTTTTTTGGCTCATCTCTCCTTCTCACACGAATAGTACCACTTCATAAACATTTAACTGTATACAAGTTTGAAAATAAATTTAAATTTGTCATTTTGGGCGATGGAGAAAGCTTTTATCGATGGACGAAAGGGGGCTTTTCGCAGCTAACATGTACAATTAGGTTCCACTTTAGGTGCAATACTACAAAATATTTTGTTTTCAATTTTGATTAGTTTTTCGACAGATATTATACCAGATTAGCGCTCCAGATAGTTTATCTATACTTAAATAGCATATTTTGCTAACGTGTATGCAAGGTTGTCGTTTAATATATTATATACTGACAATAAAACATAAATACGTATCGTAACGAGCTGTCTCTTATATATGCAATTTATCGCCGGTATAGTGAAATTCTCTCAGGGGACACATTTGCAGGTGATTTCCAAATAAGGTTCAGGTCACAAAACGCATAAAGTAGCAACGCACGAATCTTCATCTATAAATCAAAACCGGAAAACAAAACCTTTATGATTTATAGTAATATTTTTTTATTTGTTTTTTGTGACCTATAAACAATATTTTACGTTTCAACGTCTTTACGCATCGACAGTTGGCATTCGAATAAAAAATGTCTCAAGTTTTGGCAATTTTTATAGATCAAAATTATTGACATATATTATTATATAAGAATAAGGAACGAACATTGCATTTTGTATTTAGGCAATAAAAACTCTTCATTTTCCATAATGTTTCATATTCTAAAATTTTTCTGTTTTTGTTGTTAGCTTTGATATTTTACGGCCAATTAAATAAAATATTAATAATATGTATCTATAATATCATTGCTTTAATGTGTCGTTAAAACATTATTAACAGCGTGTTTATTAAAATCGCTTATTTATAAGTGTGTACAAGTTTAAGACTATTGGAACTACTAGTAAATAATTGCAAACACTTAGGCGGAATATTTGTCTGTGTGGCGCGGTAGCGATTTTTGTTATAAAATCTATTTCAGTTGAGATTACTTTTAAGGTCTTTAAAAAAAAAAAAAATCAAGAATAATTTTTCGTATATATTATTTGATTACAAAATATAAAGTATAATTTGTAAGTAATTAGGACCAAACTTGTTGGTTGGATATAACAAACAAAAGTCCAAACCGCAAATATAGTATTAGACCTCTTTTGTTTTGCTGTTACATAACACTTTGGAACGCATATAGCTTAACGAACAAGCATCGTGGCGATTTCGCCGCGTTTGCAAGGCATTGAAACGTACACGATTTCGACTCCAAAGACGGATCAACTAGGTATATTCAGCTAAGGCAACCAAAGATTTGTATTGGCGTAGTTTTCAAGTTTAAAACCGAAGGGTAGTATCTAATAACTGTGGAGCGTCAAAAATGTTGTAGAGTTTTAATAAAGAGACTTAATTAAAACAGAACAAAGACATTTGCGTAGCGTAGGTTTTAAACAACGCCAACCAAGACTCGTTTAGCCTCTAAAGTTTCAAAAGACAATTTATTACATCGACATTAACGTACACGCATCGTGTAAGTGTGTGTACTGTAATAATGC